AAAATGATTAAAAATCTATGGCATCCACATAGTTGGAATCAGAGGTGGGTTGCTATCTTTGGGTGAACCGGTAGGGGAAATTGGGATTGGGTCGCCGAACCGTGGGGACAGCAGGCTGGCCATGCCCCCGAACCGGTTCTCCAGTCACCACTGCTGTTGCCAGCTAGATTTTTAATCATTTTTAATGTTCTGCACATGCACAGAACAATTTACACGCAACTGTGCATGAATGTGCAACGCACATAAAGTGAACTGACAGCAACACCAGCAACAACCCACCCCTGGTTGGAATGGAGGGTGAGATCTCTCATTCCCAATCAACACCAACTATTATCAGATCCAAAGGAAGGAAGAGAACCTTCCAAAGGAAGAGAATATATTTCTATCCATTTTCAACTCCATGGTTGATGGTATCTGCAGCCACTGTGATGCCCAGGATGGATGCACTACCCCCATCCCATTCCCACCAGAGATCATCCAAAAATGCAATTCAAGATGCCATCTAAAAGAGAGTGGGGAAGAAGCAAACACACTTAGGTAGCAATTGAGAAAGATCCTTCCTTGATATGGAAATAACTGGTCATCTTAAAGTATTGCCCAAAGCACTCCAAGGCCACATCTCTTCAGTCAAATATGTTAAAATAAATAATCTTTCTTCCATTGGAAGGAGATACTAATTTTTGGCAAGCATAATCAGAAAAAAGAAATACAAACTAAGGATGCTCAGTATTGCTTTCAATTCTACATCGCCAGAAACATTTTCAGTATTACCTTGGCAGAGGTTTGTTACAAAATCCTTGTAACCATTTACCATGGTTTTTTGTTTTTGCACATAACAATTTTCAAAATTGTGGACTATTATACCTTTAATCCTTAGGGTGAAAAATATCTTCTACACATTAGATATTAGTCCATAAGTTCTGAAACATTGCTGTGCCATTCATGATAAATGAATTTATGTGACCCATCTGTGAATAAAACTAATGCTTCCAAAAAACAGTGAGTAGATAATTTAAAATCCAAACTTTTAATGAGAAGAGTGAGCTTGCTTGGATTTGGATTATTCCTGTACTCTGGGTGTTATAACTAAGACAGTCACTCCCATTTCTCATTCAATATTTGAATATCTGCTTATTAGAGCAACCTTCATTATACAAGCCATTGCATTTGTATATGAAAGTTGGAGCCCACTCAGACTGTGCAGGTAGTCCTTGACTTACAACAGTTCATTTAGTGACTGTTCACAGTTACAACGGTACTAAAATGTGACTTATGAACACTTTTCACACTTACAACCATTGTAGCATCCTCATGCTCATGTGATCAAAATTGAGATGTTTGGCAACTGGTTCATATTTATGACTGTTGCTATGTCCCAAGGTCACATGATTATATTTTGCGACCTTCCGACAAGCAAAGTCAATGGGGAGGCCAGATTCACTTAACAACTGGGTTTTTAACTTATCAACTGCAGTGATTCAATTAACAACTGTGGCAAGAAAGATTGTAAAATGGGGCAAAACTCACTTAACAAATGTCTCATTTAACTGAAATTTTGGGCTCAATTATGATCATAAGTTGAGGGCTATCTGTACTTCAGGCTTTCTTGTCTGTATTACTTGGACAAACCAACACTTAGCTTATTTAGGCAGTCCATAATCATAGCATCCTGTAGTGCTATGGGATATTATGCCCCTTCAGAAATCCAGATTTCCATAAAGAATAAATTCCATGGCATACTAGCTGTTCTGGTCATATTGGAACACCCAAAGGAGGTTGCAATTCTGATAATTAGAACACATGTCCAATTTTCCACCTATCCCCTTTCAATCACATTTTCACTTACAATAGTGTTTCTCTTGTGAAACATGCTTGGATCAATTTTATTTTTTTTAATATACCAGGGGCCATTTCAGAAATTACTTTCCAGACATGATCAAAATACTGGCACTTTTTCTCTTTCTCCTCTTTCTCTCATTTTCATCTGAGCATCCTCAAGTTTTAAAATTTTTCTGGCATTCCACTATCACCAACATTCAGTATCAACATAGTCAGAAGCCTCTTTAATCATCAGAAACAGCAATCCACCTTTTGGAAGATAATTTATTAACAATAGATCTATTACCAAGAACAACAGCTGACTCTTGGTAAAGAGGATCTGAGTATTAGTTGATGCACAATTAACTACCCCATTTTACACATCAGACATTTTCACAGACATTTTGCAAAAACCAAAAGAGCTAAGTTCACTGAGACACGAGCAAGTCAAAGACAAATTCCAAAAGGAAGGAAACAAGTTTAGGACAGGAAGAGTGTAGAAGTGAAGAGAAAAGGGGGGAAACCAGTAAGAGATCAAGCAAGGGTATGAGAGAAAAGTGAGACAAAAATACCTAGTGTCATTTCCAAGTGAAATGCTATAAGTGGAAGGCAACCCAAGACAAACACACGTACAGATACACAAAGAAATTAAAATGTCAGAAAACATTGTTTATAGGTGTCTGAGAAAAGCTACCCAGAGAGGCAGCTACACAGAGATGCATAGAGATTTGAAGAGATCAGCCATAATTAGTTACAATACTGTTCTCTCTTCAATCTCTTAGTAGAAGGACATGTTTACAATAGGAAGCCCAGAATGTTGTGTTGGATATTTCCCTCTTGTTTCCTAGCTGAAAGTCTAATAGTCCTGGTGATTCAATTAGATTTTTTAAAATCTATATTATCTGTAGATTAAAAAATCAAGGAAATTTTCTTTAACCAGGTTCTTATCAGAACTGTGATTTCCAGTATGAAAATTGGGTTTCAGTCTCTCCCAACCTGTTGCTTTGAAGACATGTAGGGATTACAGCTCTCTGAATCACTTGGCAGCCTGGAGTTGTAATCTTCGCACATCTGGAATGCATGAAATTTGCTGTGCTACAATGATTTCATGAAGGTAAGATTTACAGGAAAAAAAACCTTTCAGTCTATAGTACTTCCCTAAAAAAAAATGCAGCTTCTCATAGCAGTACCGAGCAATGATACTGTATTGAGCAGGATTCAGCAACTTTAATTTATCAAATCAAAGTATTGTATGCCCTAATCATCAAGAAGGAACAAGCAAGGTGTTCCATGCAAAAATGCTATAGTAAGATGAGAAGTAATATAGCAATAAATAAATCCAAATGGCTCTGAAAAAGGAAGTCCTAAATTAGAAATATTCATTCTAATAGTGATAAAATAATCCTTTCTAATCCTCAAAAAGTAAAAGCCATATCAACTTCATCTTTCAGATGATCATCATAGAAAGTCTGATGCAAACTTTGTTGTATAAACCCACACCACATAAGAAACCATTAATGGAAACCAGTTCCATTATGGTGCCTAGAATAGACAACAGAAACTCAGTTCAAATTGGCAGAAAACTACAGAGGAAGGAATAAAAATACTGGCATCAAGGCAGGAAATGATTCTAATTTTAGTGAACTGAGCCATAAATCACAGCGGTCACATCTCTCTTGTCCAATTTATCCATGGTATTTTCCAGCCAATTATCTTTAATGACACTTTTGGTACCAAATTTTTAAATCTGAATGATTAATTAGGAGGCACTGCAATAAAATTGTATTTCTTACAGTGACCTCATAAATTTATAGTTACAGTAATTACATACTGACTTGCAACTAAAGTTGATATTTTATCCTTATTTATCATATTTTCTATCACTGACATCTCTAAAACAAACATATGCTAAGTCTTAAGTCTAGATTTCAGAGAGCAAAATAGGTCTAATTCAAATACTAGACTAAACTAAATAAACCAGCCAATTTTTCTTTCCATTTTCCACCTTAGCTTTCCTAGTTTGATTTTAAATTCTTCAACAAAAGAAATAAATCAGTCTACTGGGGTTAGGGAATAGGGAAATGTTTAAAGAATTACTTTTACATCACAACTTAGCTCTTTTGATCCTGTTCTCTGGCCTGGCATAGCTTTCCTTCTTAACATAGTGTCTCTCCTGCAGCCAGTGAGACCAGCAGGATCGTATCAGTATTTAAAGAATTGTATTCAGTAAATTCCAATCTTCCTAGCATGCAGAGTTGGCAATTTTATTGGCTCCTTGGGATGCTTTAATATCTAATCATTGTCACAGTCCAAGTCATGCAATCCATTTGATACTTGAATTCGTAGAGTTACCTCAGACTGCATTTTGAACAGTTTTTGCACCCACATCTGACTGAAGACTGCCTAGGAAGCCTTTAAACCCCATTCCCTCCATTGATGGCCTTTTCACCCCATCCTGGGATTACCCTAATCTCCTCTCTCACCCCCAGTCACACGGAGCACAGCATCTCATGAAGCCTGCATCAGTTCAACTCCTTTTGTGTCACTGCCAAAGCCAGAAGCAGGAGATGGAGGAGTTTCAGTACGGACAGGCCAAGCCAGCATTTTTTGGCAGAGATAGAGGGGGGGAGGAAAGAGGGAAATCAAATGGAAAAAAATGCTATCTCCCAGTCCCCGGTGCCCAAAGAGAGCATATATGGATGAGAGAGAAATAAGAAAAACACTGGCCTTTGAAAGAAAGCTTACAAAAAGCAACAACCAAGGAACAAAATGGAACAAAAAGAAGCCCAATGATGCAGAAGAGAAAAAAGAAAGGAAGACGCTGGTGTGTTCAGGTAGGTGGAAGTAAGTTTAATCTACAGCATTGCTAACCCAATGCTGATTTGAAAAAGGTGCGTGAGAGGAAATAAAATATATGGGAAAGCTCACAAATAATACCTAGGCATATCCGAATCAAGAAACTGCCTGCAAAAACACAAACAATCACATGGTTAGTTTAAATGGGCAGTGGTGGTGGAAGTGGCAGTAGCATCAGCAGTTTTATCATGCAGTCTTCCAAAGGATAAACCCTACCAACAGCTCCTCTCTGTCCCAAATAGAAAGAAAGCTCAAGGCCCCCTGATGAACACATTGTAAATTAGTAAGTGGAGTAACAATGAGGTACACTGAAATGTCTATGGCAGTGTTTCTCAACCTTGGCAACTTGAAGATGTCCGGATTTCAGCTCCCAGAATTCCCCAGCCAGCTGGCTGGGGAATTCTGGGAG